CAGTAATAACACACGCGAACATTTCCAGTGTTTCAAGATCAAGGGAGTATAAATGATGCTGTAAACCACTGGTTCCCAATCTTGGATCACCCAGGTGTTCTTGGACTACGATTCCCAGAAACCCTAGGCAGCACAGCTAAAGGTGAAATCTTCTGGGGGGTTGCAGTCCAAGAACCACCTGCATGACCCAAGGTTGGGAACCACTGCTGTAAACTGTAGCAAAATAAGCAAAGGTAGGTTGCTTGATAGTCTCACCAGATTTTAGGCAACCTGTCTATCATTGGGTGTTAGGCAATGAGTATGTTTCCCTCAAGCGCATGGACCTGACCGACGTGTTTTCTTTCAGGTGAAGATTCGGGCACTGGAGGCCTACCGAGGGGAGAGGGTTAAGGTTTTTGGCTGGGTTCACAGATTGCGTAGACAAGGTGAGTACCGTGTGAAGGAGGAATCAGTTTGGTTTAGAGGTAAGGATCAAGTCCTGGATGTTTGGGAATGTTGACCCTTGCTTATTAGAGAAAGGTGGAGTTCAGGTGAACTGATCCACCTTTTGTCTTTTACCTCAGTTCTCCTTTTACCTCACCCTATGGGTGGAGGACCTGAGCCAAGGTATGAGTCTCCATGCTGAATAGCTTTGCCTTTTAAACGGGAGGATGGATTGCATAGAGATTTTTTTTTAGTAAGGCCTTTGGTCCGTTTAGCTCAGGATTTGACGGCACCGCCTGGTTGAGCCTTTCCAAGACTTCAAAACATAGAAGGTGTATTTCTGAGAAGCTGTCTCACAAAAGGGCAGAAGGGCGGGATCAAAAATAAGTCAGACCATCAGTCTGTTTAGCTTCTACTCCATGCACCTTATGGGGTCCTTTTAATTGGCTTGAGGCCTCTCCGACTTGGGCGTGCTCACTGTCAGTGGCAGCACAAAATAAAGCAGTGGAGTTAGGCACTCACAGCTTGAATGATTTTTTTGAAAGTTGTTGGGAGTATAAAACCGGCCTTAGGCAGGGCACTGTATAAGGGGACTAACAGGTCAGTGAGAAGCTGGTTGTGTGGGGGAAACAGGGCGTCTGTCTGAGCTATCTTAACATTTTAACACCACAAATATTCCCTTGGGGAAACCATTTCTAATTTTGTAGAATGGTCGAGCCCAGTGTTTCCCCCACCCTTCTTTCAAATGTCCAGCAAACCTGTTTTGCAATTCCCATCATCTTTCAATTGCATATGCAGCCTGCAGATGATGAAGTTTGTAGTCCAGCCTTTCTGCAGAATGTTACCCTTTCTTTTTCCTTTTTCCTTTGTTTGTTCGTTTGTTTATCCCTATCTTATCTCGTCCGTCTAGTGGCCAGGCCTTCCCTAAACACTGATTCTCTTTTCATCTGGTTTGAAGTTGGGCTTTTAACCAGAAGTATAGTTTAATTGTGTTGCATTGATGTTACAGCTGCAGGATGGTCCTTGTCTTTAATACAGGGCTTGGAAATGTGACTTTTACGGAGATCAGCTTCCAGAATCCATGCTGACCAGGGATTTTGAAATTTGAATTTTTTTTTGAAATAGAAAGCTCTGCTTCGATAGGAATTGAATTGATGGAAAAAAAGGAGTGGAGAACATTGTTTTCAAAAAAATCAAAATTAAAGTTCTTAAAATGATTAATTTCTTCTTTCTAGGGAAAACCCTCATGTTCATTGTGTTAAGAGATGGCACAGGCTATCTTCAGTGTGTCTTGTCTGATGATCTGGTAAGCCAATTTTTCTCTTATTCTATGAAGCTTGTCTCCATTCTTCCTTCCTTCTCCTTCCTGGGTGGTTCCCTTCCTTGATCTCAATCTTCTCTGATTTCCCTCATGTCTTGTTCCATTCTGACGTAGCAAAGGGCTGCCGTCCTCCTGATATACTACGCTGACATAACAGTTCAATCCATCTTTACTGTCATGGCTGCATCCTAAGGAAGTCTGGTATTTATAGTTTGGTGAGGCACTCAGAGGCTGGCTAGAAAGCAGAATTTTGTGCTGGTCCAGTCCCCTAAACTAAAACAAAGAACTCTAAATGTCCTTCCACCCAGCTACACATCCCAGGATTTCTTAGGGTGGAGACGTAAGCCATATTCAGTATTTATCTCTTTTTTTGGCATTGCCAGTGCTGATTAAGAGGGATGGTTCACGCCATCCCCCTCCCTCATCATTTCCTTCACATGAACAGAAATAAGCCTGGAGGGGCTGCTGCTTGTGAGAATAGGCTCTACATGTAAGCAAGAACCCAGATTTTCTCAATTTTTTTCTTGTGTTGGAGCTTACAGGAAAGCATGAACTTTTCCTCTTAAACATTGCCTCCAGCAGCAAAGCTGGCTAACTGTTTTTATCTACACTGCTGACACTGGGTAGGATGATACTGAGTAGGGCTAGAGTAAATGGATATCAGAATTCTGTAGGCACACTTGCCATGTGTAGAACATCCATATACAGTGGTGCCTTGCATGACGACGTTAATTCATTCCAGCGAAATCGCTGTAGAACGAAAATGTCGTAAAGTGAAATTAAAAAGCCCATAGAAATGCATTAAAACCCGTTTAATGCATTCCGATGGGCTGGAAACTCACTGTCCAGTGAAGATCCTCCATAGGGTGGCCATTTTCGCTGCCTGTGCAGCGAGGAATCTGTCCCAGAAAACAGTGGGGGCCATTTTGTTTACCCGGCGGCCATTTTGAAACCGCTGATCAGCTGCCCGAAAATCATTGTTTTGTGAAGAATCGGTTCCTGAAGCATGGAACTGATCATCGCAAAGCAAAATTCCCCCATAGGAAACATCGTAAAGCGATTGCAAAAAGTTCGTCGTAGTGCGGTTTCGTCGTTAAACAGAGCGATCATAAAGCGAGGCACCACTGTAATCTGAAGCAGAATACTTCAGCATATCGGTTACTGGGAATCAGCAATGGGAGATGATTTATGCCTTTACCACTTGTGCATCCCGACAGTTGGGGGATGCAGGGTGTTTTACTAGCTAATGTTGTTATTGGCTACGTGGCCTCCACCTTGTGGAAATGTTCTCTCTATGGGTGACAGTGCCACACCTCCTCCTTCGTCCATCTTTTCCACCGTCGGTTATTTGCACCTTCCACCTCTCTTGGGAAGGATACATTCATCTGATGGTGGGTGGGTGGGTGTTCCCTCCGCCCCATTTATTTGTATCCTACATTATTTCCTAGAACTGGGACTCTTGATAACTTACAGAATTTGAGACAGATGCAGATAAAAGCAAGTATCCATGAATGCAGCTCAGCTAGCTACGATGAAATGTATGAATTAAAAACAATTTGAAACACGTCCACCCTGCGTCTACTAAATATCCTTTCTTATAAAACAGCCAGTTAGATCCTGACAGCCTGTGTGAATACAAGAGTCTAGGTCAGATGGCTGAAAGACAATGAGGGGACTATCGGGGCCTTTCTTGGAGGGGAGTTCTGAGACCTGGGAGTTGCTGCTGAGGACACCTGCTTTTCCATTCTCCCTACACACACCTTTGGGGAGAGCCCACGATGGAGAGAAAAGCCTCCTTCATACATCTCAAAGTCTGGGCAGTCTCATAGGCGAGAATACCATATTTCAGATAGCCTTGACCCTCTTCGTGTAGGGCGGTGGCTTCCAACCTTGTGTCTCTGAAGGTTCTTGGACTACAACTCCCAGAAATCATTGCCAGAACAGCTAGTGGGTGAAGGCTTCTGGGAGTTTTAGTCCAAGAACACTGGGGTGACCCAAAGTTGGGAACCAGCGATTTAGGGCTGAAAGACAGTGAGGGGACTATAGATGATAGTCCCCTCACTGGGGATGATGGGCAGCGTGGTCCGGGGTGACCCAAAGTTGGGAACCAGCGATGTAGGGCTGAAAGACAGTGAGGGGACTATTGGTGATAGTCCCCTCACTGGGGATGATGGTCCAGAATCATCCCCAGATGATGCTGGACCACGCTGCCCATCATCCCCAGCCAGCTCATGGAGGTGTGGGAGTTATCTGCCTCTTGGGAACCACAGTTATGTTGCTGGGAGTGGATGAGAAGGCTTGAGAAAGTTGGGTTTTTGGTGTGCACACTGGTGTTTGATGCTCTGTCCCCTTCCCTTATCCTTGATCCTAAATTCAAGAATCCCTTGATTCTTGAAGTGAGAGGACTGTTTCATCCTATGTTGTTGCTTTATTATAGATGAAAATGACATTGCTTTGGGAGGGGAACACTGGTGGGCCAAATTCTGGCTCTCTTTAGGCCAGACATTTCTTCCTAGAGTTGCACTGAATGATTCCTTGGGAATAAATGAGAATATTACTCTTTTTTCTTTACAAGATGAAAGTAAAAGTTAAAATAAACAGACTGAGTCTCCCCCTCTCCCCCATTTCTCTCCTCTAGTGTCAGTGTTACAATGGTGTGCTCCTCTCGACAGAGAGCACGGTGGCTGTCTATGGGACCCTCAACCTTGTTCCGGAGGGGAAGCAGGTGAGTGCATCTTGCCGTCCGTCAATAATAATAATCTTGTTGTTGCTTTGTTATAGATGAAAATGACATTGCTTTGGGAGGGGAACACTGGTGGGCCAAATTCTGGCTCTCTTTAGGCCAGACATTTCTTCTTACAGTTACACTGAATGATTCTTTGGGAATCAATGAGAGTATTACTTTTTTTTTCTTTACAAGATGACATTAGACGTTCAAAAAACAGAGACTGAGTCTCTCCCCCCCTCTTCCATTTCTCTCCTCTAGTGTCAGTGTTACAATGGTGTGCTCCTCTCGACAGAGAGCACGGTGGCTGTCTATGGGACCCTCAACCTTGTTCCGGAGGGGAAGCAGGTGAGTGCATCTTGCCGTCCGTCAATAATAATAATCTTGGAACTGCAGAGCTGGAAAGGGACCCTGTGAGTCATCAAGTCCAGCCCCTGTCAAGGAGGCACAGTGGGGATTCGAACTCCCAACCTCTGGCTCTGTGGCCAAAGACCTAAGACACTGAGCTATCCAGCAGTTCAGACTTCCTGGCTTTTGCTCAGGTAGCTGTTTCCAACTTGCCTTTTTTTTAAAAAAAAAATCTCTACGTTGGCTTGGAAGTTTCTCCAAAGAGAGCAGGCCGTTTGTCTGCTTTGACTCCCTTTGATCTAAACAGTGGAAGATGAGGAAGGTGCTAGCATGCCCATCTTGGAGGGGGAAAAACCTACCAGATTTCTTGAAGTGAGAGGACTGCTTCATCCTAGGGCTTCTCGCATGTGTCATCTGAAGTCACACAGTCTAGTAGGTGCCGGCTCATGGGACAAGGGAGATGATCCAAGGGCGGAACTGAAATTCTGAGAGGTTTAGGGGCGATACATTCTAGTGGCAAAGTGGGCCAAGGGCAGGACCAAAATAAAAAAATGAATAAAAAGTTTTTGCCAATATTTAAGTCTTAAGAGGGAGACGCGGTGGCACTGTGGGCTAAACCGCAGAAGCCTGTGCTGCAGGGTCAGAAGACCAGCAGTCATAAGATCGAATCCACGCGATGGAGTGCGCCCCTGTCGCTTGTTCCCGCTCCCGCCAACCTAGCGGTTCGAAAGCATGCAAATGCAAGTAGATCAATAGGGGCCACCTTGGTGGGAAGGTAACACACAGTCTAGCAGGCGCTGGCGCATGGGACAAGGGTGACGATCCAAGGGCGGAACTGAAATTCTGAGAGGTTTAGGGGTGATACATTATAGTGGCAAAGTGGGCCAAGGACAGGACCAAACTAAAAAAATGGATAAAAAGTTTTTGCCAATATTTAAGACTTAAGAGAGGTGTTTCCGTCTGAGATAGAAAAGCTGAAAGCCAGAAAACTGTTGTCGTGAAAAACGAGGCACGGCCCTTTGTCCTCCCTATCTTATTTAACTGCAGTCCCACATTATCTGGAGGGCCCCTTGTTGCCTTTCCTTTTTGTTCTTGTGTTGATGTGGAAATGGGAACGTACACTACACAAACACGGTTTCACCCTTGGCTCTGAAGGAAGGAGGGCAATATGGATGTTATCTTCCCCCAGGTACTAATTAAACAGAACACCTTCCTTGTCCTTCTCCCCCACCCCCAGCTTGAATGCCGGTCTGTTCTCACATGAGAACAGGGTGTTGGAGGCACAGAGGGAGCCAGCAACAAAATGTTGCAACGCAACATGGCTCTCAGTCAGGATTTCACTTTTTCTTTGCCATCCCTGTTTCTCTCTCACTTTGGCCTCAGCACACATTGCTTGATAGGTAGGTAGATAGTTTAACTAGAGTTGTGTCAATGTGTGTGTTCTGGACTATAACGTCCAGAATTTGTTGCCTGTGGGATTTTGGAAGTTGGAGGCCCGCCCCACCCTAATCCATCTGCCTACCCATAGCTTTAACATGCAGGCCGTTTGAGGTCTGTTAAATCTTCAGTATCCAACAACTTGGAAATTTCAGCCGCTGAGAATGCTGGGCGCTGTGGCATAGATCTCTGGCCTCAGAACCAGAATTTGGGAGTTTAGTTTCCTGCTCTGCCTCCTTGATGGGGGCTGGACTTGATGATCTATAAGGTCCCTTCCAGCTCTAAAAAAATATTACAATTAAAAATGATTATATGAGAGCAACAAGGCGATGAGAAGACCTCATTCACCAAAGGGCTGGGCGGAGAATGTCAGGAACAACTTAGTCAGTCTAGAAAAGAAGAATGTGGGCCTTTTATGTCCTCAATACCTTTGCATAATAAAGTCACAAGAACCCCAGGGAAAATATGGGGGCAGGAAACACCCTGTCGGTCTGTGTTCTGTGGCCTTTATGTACGTTCACTCCCCTTGGGGGCTCTTCTGCAGCAGGTTGCTGTCCCCCACCCACCCCCCTTTGGCATGAGTTTTGCCATCTTGGCTACCTCAGCGATGACCCTGCCAGTCTGAACCTTGAAATGAACAGGAGTTATAATCTCTTCCCCACTGCTTTTACTACTGTGAGATATAAACTTCAGTCATAAATTGCCTGGAAGAATCTATATCCATTTCCTGCTAAAAAAAATCTATAAAATCATTTATAATGTAGTGATGTTTTTAGAAAATGTATTTTTTTTTAGTTCAGGCCACTAGGGGGAGCTCATAGAATGCATGTGGGAGGAATGTTGTGAGCTTAGGAAATACCTACCTCTCTCCCTTGAGTATGATCAAATACTATCCAATTCCTAATACTAATTTTAGATTTAAGGCATAATATCATGGTAGAATATTTTAAAGCACATTTTTGTAGTCTTTGGTTTGTGGCTTCTCTGAATGAACATGTATGTCCTGTTTATCCATACTGGACCAAAGTCAACTAGATACTGCAAGAGATATTAGAAACTCCAATATTGATGATACCAGATTTTTTTTCCTATTAAATATTTTGCCTAATAAGTTAGATTCTGAAAAAGCATTCTTAGCCATCCAAGTTTCCCGATGTTCCTTGTTCTCTTTTTGGATTTAGCCATTCTGTTAGCATATCCATTTCTGCGGTTTCCAGTATTTTTCAGTTAGATTCTGAAAAAGCATTCTTAGCCATCCATATGATAACAGTGGCAAGAATAGTATTTGCGAAACACTGGAAGGAGTCTGGAATACCACAAATAGACAAACTGATAGGGAAAAATACTGGAAACCGCAGAAATGGATATGCTAACAGAATGGCTAAATCCAAAAAAAGAAAAAGGAACATCGGGAAACTTGGATGACACTATATACATGGTTGCAAAAAAGACCAGCTACGTAATTAATAATGGGAATTACAAAATACCTGTCTGAATTTAGATTTTTCTATATAATGCATATATTTTTGGATGATAATTGGAATTACTCTTAGAAGGGAAAGAAAAAGGAACATCGGGAAACTTGGATGACACTATATACATGGTTGCAAAAAAGACCAGCTACGTAATTAATAATGGGAATTACAAAATACCTGTCTGAATTTAGATTTTTCTATATAATGCATATATTTTTGGATGATAATTGGAATTACTCTTAGAAGGGATTATTTAGAATTATTATGGGGAAAAATACCGATTTGTAATGTGACCATTCAAATCCACCCCCTCTAAATGTATCCTTATCCCAGTTATCCCTTACCCCACCCTACCTCTATGAAGAGAAAAATAAATAAATAATAATTTAAAAAAAAGACTGCCTGAAAAATGTCAAAGCACTGAGAGAGCTTCTGAGTTTCACAGAACTCTTTCAGTGTAGAGGAAGTCTGTATTAGCCTGCATAAGGTGATCCAGGAAGTTCTTGGCAGATTGATTAGGTTAATTCGTGGCTTGATCATAAGACATCAGGTTGCCCCCAAACTATGTGGTCAATAATTTGGATACTTTAATAGTTGACCCTGAAGAACTAAAACACATTTCAGTAAGGTTTTTTTCCCCTATCATCGTTTGAAATCCCCTTCGTTTTTTCTGTCTGCTTTTAGAGTGAGGTTTGTTGCTGTAGATGCCAGGTGGAAGTGAATTTATTTGTTCAAACGGTGGGGGAGGTGATACCTTATTTTGTTTTTTTATTCCTTCTGATGGCTGCACAGCATTTAATTATAATTCTGCGATTTCAGCACAATGTTTTTAATGGCATTTGTATGTTGTGTTGACTCGTAGGTTTTTTTTAGTTGCCTTTATAAGGAAGGGCAAGATTTAAAAAAAGAAATAAGTAGCAATAAAATTATAAAAAGTACCAGCAACTGGAAATTAGAAATTTGTAGCGGGATTTAAAAAGCCAATGTAAATACAGGGAGTCAAAACTTTTTAACGCCAATGAAAAGTTCAGCAATTTTTGAAGAAGTTGTAGAAGATGGCCTAGAGCAGGGGTGTCCAACCTTTCACCTTCCCTGGGCCACATTTGAAGATGAAAATTTGGTTTGGGCCGCATGGGGGGGCAGCCCTAGCCGTCCTCCGCAGCCCTGCTTCAAGCGCGCTTACCGGCAGCTGCGATCTCAGACAGCAGAAGCTGCCAGCTTCGACTCTGGTGGCTTTATGGGGCCAGGAGGGGGTCCACCTATTGACGGGGACGGTGCAATGTAGTCATGCAGCCCCCTTGTCCCCTCCCCTTCCTTCCCTCTCTCCCCCTCTACTGTTGTGACATGCCCCGGCCACATTCCGGCCGCAAGCACTGGCAATGTAACTTGAAACTTTGGAATTTCTTTAAAAATAAAAAAATTGCACTGGGCCGCATTACGAGTTGACCTGGGCCGCTTGTGGCTGCAGGTTGGACAAGCCTGGCCTAGAGCTTAAGAGAGTGACAGTCATCTTGACAAGGCCAGATCCCCAGTGTTGGTGAGCTCTGTAGTCGGCCAGTCATCACTGGGATGCAGTTACTAGGCCCATTCTGGACTAGAAGGGATCAAGAGACGTGACACTGCCCTTGTGCATAGAGATATTTGCTGGATGGGGCTGGCTTCTCCTTAGCCCTCCTGAGGTCCAGATAGGGTGAACTTGTCTTGCTCGTCGTCGTGAGCTTTGTGTGTTGATAACAGGCTTGCCAGGCGAATACTGCTGTTTTTTTAAAAAGTACTGCTTAAATTTAAAAATAAATATGACCCTTTAGGCTCCAGGAGGCCACGAGCTATGTTGCGACTACTGGGAACTCATTGGCCTGGCTCCTGCGGGCGGCGCCGATAATCTGGTCAACGAGGAGTCAGAAGTGGACGTCCAGCTGAACAACCGGCACATGATGATTCGCGGGGAGACCCTAAGCCGGATCTTGAAAGTGCGCTCCACCGTCGTCCAGTGCTTCAGGGACCACTTCTTTGACCGAGGATATTATGAGGTGAGTTGCGTCTGGTGCTTCGGTGACCCGCAGCGATGTTCCTTAGGAAATGGTTCATAGCAAAATCCATAAAGGAATCAGATTGTGGCCCAGAGAGAAAATGATCACAAACTGTTATTTATCAATGAATCACATTTATATCTTGCTTGTCCTCCATTGAGATCAAGGCACCCTAAATGGCCCCATATTCTGTTCCCCATATTGTCTTCCTAACAACAGTCCTGTGAAGTAGGTCAGGCTGCCCAGTGAGTTGCGTGACATCATGGGGATTTCAGCATGAGTGCTTTGAAGTCTTAAGTTTAGAATCATGGAATAATTGAGTTGAAAGGGGCCTATGAGGTCATAAAGTCCAACCTCCTGCTCAATGCAAGAATACAAATCAAAGCTGATCTGAAATATGGTTGTCCAGTTTTTTTTTAAAAAAATGCCTCCAGCCTTGGGAGTGCTCCCCACCTCCTGAGGTCATTGTTTTACTGCTCTAACAGTTAAGAAGTTTTTCCCCTGATATTCAACCTAAATCTGGCTTCCTGTAGCTTGAGCCCATTGTTGCGTATCCTGCAGTCTGGGATGACTGAAAACTGGTCCTGCCCCTCCATAAGAACACATTTCAATTCTTTGAAAAGCGCTATATCCTTAACAGAAGGAAACTGATGTGCCCCAAGTGCAGGAATGAAGTCTAGGTTGTGGGGATGGGTCCACAGATTCTGGTTCACTGTTGGTTTGGCTCCAAACCTGTTACCATTTGGGGGGAAAATGGAGGCTGAATTTGCTGCAGGACTTGGTGTGATGTATGTGGCAGGGAGACAGAGCTCCTCACTCCATTCACCCCCGAACTTTATACAGTGGTGCCTCGCTTAACAGGCGCCCCGTTTAATGACGAATCCGCATAGTGATGAAGTGATGAAGATTTTGCGATCGCAAAAGCGATGCATTGTGATGTTTTAAATCGGAAAAAATCGCTTTGCAATGATTTTCCAACAGCTGATTGGCGGTTCCAAAATGGCCGCCGGGTAAAAAAAATGGCCGCCCACTATGTTTTCGCCCGGATTCCTTGCTTACCGGGGAGTGAAAATAGCCGCCGTATGGAGGATTTTCACTTAAAGGTGAGTTTTAAGCCCATAGAAACACATTGAATGGGTTTCAATGCATTCCTATGGGCTTTTGAAAACCGCATAGCGACGAAATCGCTTTGCAGCGATTTTTGCTGCACGGATTATCGTCGCTATGCGGGGCACCACTGTGTATTGGAACTGAAGCTGTCCTACTTTGGGCACAGCATGAGGAGGCTAGTTTTCTGTGGGAAAAGGCATGCTGAGAAAGGTAGAAGATAGCCGCAGAAGAGAAAGACCAAGTAGAGGAGATGGATTGACAGCTTGAAACAGGGTTTCCCAACATTTTTCAGCCTCCTTGAGTTTCCAAAAACTGAGCAGCGCTGTTGAGGGCAGGGCATTTTGGAGATCACTCACTCTTGAAGTCACCCCAAGTCAGAGGTGACCCATAACAGCAACAGCTTATAGTAGCAACATAGGCTGCCCACTCCCTGCCATATTTGCATAAATAAGCATTTTTAACAGGGGTAAAGATAACACACCCCAATAGATTATTAAAAGAAGATCAAAGAAACCATAAAGTCTGTGCAGTCTTACTGTAAAACTTCCCAACTTCTCTGTGATTCCCCCCACCTCCAAATATTAAATGACTCTGAATAAGAAAGGCTCCACTGCCAGGGCAGTCTCCCTTTCCTCAGCTGCACACATCTGCCCCTCACCCAGGAGGTCCAGCTGTTCGTAACATTTGGCACAAACTCATGCATCCGTCTCAAGAAAAGCTCAGGGGATGGGAGAGAGAGATCATGAAAGCCCATGTGGGGTTGCTCAGAAAAAGAACCCATGCTTTAAAGGAAGCCAAAGGCTTGAGTTTCCAAAAACAGCAGCGCTGTTGAGGTCAGAACATGTTTGGAGTTCACTCACTCTTGAAGTCACCCAAAGTCAGAGGTGACCCATAACAGCAACAGCACCTGAGAGGAGAACCACCCTTAGGACTTGAGAAAAAATTCGCCTTTCCCAGGTGGGTGGGTGGCCGGGGCAGAAACAGGTACCAATGTATCTTTCACACGGCCTCTCTGCGCTTCCTTTACTAGGTCACTCCGCCGACGTTGGTTCAGACGCAGGTAGAAGGGGGATCGACTCTCTTCAAAATGGATTACTTTGGTGAAGAGGCCTTCCTGACTCAGTCTTCTCAGCTGTACTTGGAGACCTGCATCCCGGCAATGGGAGATGTTTTTTGCATTGCCCAGTCGTACCGAGCTGAGCAGTCCCGGACACGCAGGCATCTGGCTGAGTAAGAAACTTTTGCTCGTTTGTTTGTTTGTTTGTTTTGTTTTGTTTTTCAGGTGGAATGTCTTGTGCGTTGCTTCAGAGCAAGCGAGCCGCCTGCAGGGAGTTAGACGTTGGCTGAATTGTCAGCATGCTGCGACTTTCTGGCTTAAAAACCTCATTTGACTGTTTGGGTTAGTGAGGCTGTGAGAGGAAGGTTGCTACTGTACCTTTCATATGTAGCTGTATTCGCAGGCCCCATTTAAGTACTGGTGATTACCATCAATATTTGACCTAGTTATCTAAGCTATATAGATATAGACCTAAATCCTAGACAGATTATCTGCACTCATACAGGGCTACGTGGATCCTAAGTTTCATCATAGAAGTCCAGATTCCACGTACCTCATCCTCTTTTCAGGTTTTGTATTCATCACAGCTTTGGCCTCCCTGGCTCTCAGCCCCTTAGACTCCTCACTCTGGGTCCCTTTCCACACATTGCCCCACCAAGCAACTTCTGTTTATAGGGTGAACCCTCAACCGGCAATTTCCCCTGCTCTTAAAGAGAAGGTGAGCTGGCTGGACAGCTCAGTGAGTTAAGTATCTGCTTGGGTTAGTGAGGCTGAGACAGAAAGGTTGCTACTGTACCTTTCATATGTTTGCTAGCTGCCACTGTATTCCCAGGCCCCATTTAAGTACAGTGGTGCCTCGATTAACGACGATAATCTGTTCCAGGAAAATCACCATTAAGCGAAAACATTGTAAAGCGGGGAAAAACGCATTGAAACCCATTCAGTGCATTCCAATGGGCTAAAAACTCACCGTCCAGCGAAGATCCTCCATGTGGCGCCATTTTCACTGTATAGCGAGGAATCCATCCCTAAACACAGCGGGGATTGGTCAGCCAATTGTTATCTCTAGCTTCACTGCCGTGATAGCATGTAGATTTTAAAAACCAAGACAATTAACATTGTTTGAAAATGAATTCTTGCAGTCCCACATCCTTTTTCAGCCTACTCAGTGGTTACCATTCCTGTGTCCAGGCACAGCCCAGGACAAAACGGTGTGGGCGAATTCCTTCTTTAGAGTTATTCACCCACCTGTATTCAATGAAAAGGCACCCCCACTCATTGTTTGGGACGGGTGGTGGTGGTGGTCTCAGACAAGTTCTCAACCTGTTTTATACGCAAGGTTTCCGTGGTCTCCTGCAGGTACACGCACATAGAAGCGGAATGCCCTTTCATGAGCTTTGAGGACTTGTTGACCCGTTTAGAGGATCTCGTCTGTGATGTTGTGGACAGAGTCTTGAAATCTCCTGTGTCTGACTTGCTGTACGCCCTCAACCCAGTAAGTGGCGGCAATAGCCATTTGTAAAGTTCGTTTGCTTATGATTTCTTATGGAGAAGCTCTGTCTCATTAACTGGATGCTGCATAATGGTCTTTGTGCAAAACTGAGCTCCCCTCCCCTCATCCTCATTATTTATTATTATTATTATTATTATTATTATTATTATTATTATTATTATTATTATTATTATTATTATTATTATTATTATTGGGATGTCTGTGGTGCAGACAGTTACCCTTCTCAACAGGTTTACACAGTTCGGAACAGGATGGTGGGTAAAGGGCAGCCTTCCAGATATTTGTTGGACTCCGAACCCCAGCCTCCCTGCCACTGGCTAAGGCTGATGGGAGTTCTAGTTCAACAAGATCAAGAGGGCGGCACTCTGCTGGCTCTTGATCTCGAAGATGACACAAAGAGGGGATGGAAGGAGAGGCGGAACAGAAATGATGTGCTTTTTTTAAAAGTCATTTTCTGAGTTTTGCTTTGCAAGTTGTTCCAATCTGTTGTGACTTTGGGATGGAGTGGGGCAAGCTAGATTAAGAAACCAAACCCCTAAAAGAGATTTCCCTCAAACTCAAGAGGTGTCCTCCTTCTGTAAATGCAGAACTTTGAGCCTCCCAAGAGGCCCTTCAGGCGAATGAACTACACCGATGCCCTTGTATGGCTCAAACAACATGACGTGAGGAAGGAAGACGGCTCCTATTACGAATTTGGAGACGTGAGTCTTGTTGTCGTTTTAATCCACACTTGTTGGCCCCTGTTCTTTAAACAGAAACCATGAGATTGCCATAACGCAGTCTTTGTCGGCTTTCGTTTGGAAACTGTTTGGGGACATCCGCTCATCAGGAATTCCCTGGACTGGGGCTTTGGGACTCCTAGGTAACGGCTAGCTGCTGCCGCTGCTTCTCATTATTGTTATTATTATTGTTGGGGTTAGGGTTAGTACCTAGAAGATCAGCTAGCTTCTAGATGCAAATCAGTGTCCTGGTTGTGATCTGTAAATTCCCGAACCCCTTGAGACCTGGTGGCCTGAAGGTTTTCTGCCCATACTGGCCTGGGCGTTGAGATCTTTCGGAGAACTCTGTCTTTCTGTCCTAGCAACAGCTGATGTTTGGTGAGAATCAACAGACTTCTTGCTGTAACATGGTGCTGTTCTTTGGCCTCTTTGCAAATCCATGTCTACAGAAGGAGTTGCCATTAGGGTATACCATAGAGGAGCAATTCTTTTCTGGCTTGCAGACAGCCCCGTTATGCGGTGAGAAAAGAAGATCCTACAGTGGTGCCTCACTAGAAAGTTACCCCGCATGACAGTTTTTTTGCTAGACATTGACTTTTTGCGATCACTATAGCGATTCACAAAACAGTGATTCCTATGGGGGAATTTCACTGGACAATGTTTGGTCCCTGCTTCACGGACTATTTTTGCTAGACAACGATTTTGACAGCTCCCTCCATGCTCGCAAAACGGGACCGAAGCTTCGCAAGACAGCTATTTAAGCAGCGGATCGGTGGTTCACAAAGCGGCTTTCCTATGGCTGATCTTCGCTAGACAACGACGATTCTTCCCCATTGGAACGCATTAAACAGGTTTCAATGCATTCCAATAGGGAAATGCTTTTCACTAGACAATGATTTCGCTAAACAGCGATTTCAGTGGAATGGATCATCATCGTCTAGCGAGGCACCACTGTATTATGAATACTTACGGGTTGCATGGATATTTGGTCATAGTCAAACCATAGACGTTTCAGTCCAAAGCATAATGCCAAGTCCTGCCTAGATACACGTCAAGGGTAAAGAGCAAGACAGAGTGAGAGTGGTCTAAGAAACAACACCGCTGTATTAAACAGGTGAGTGTTGTTTGCAGAAGTGGCTTAGTGAATGGAGGGTAGAACAGAGCTGTTGTAGGCAGGTGGCAGTGGAAGTAGATGAACTAATAAGTCTTGTTCTTAACCGTAGGATATCCCAGAGGCTCCCGAGAGACAGATGACGGATGCCATTAATGAGCCGATCTTGCTGTGTCGATTTCCTGCAGAGATAAAGTCCTTCTACATGCAACGCTGCCCTGAGGACTCTCGCCTTACTGAATCTGTCAGTTGACGTTCCCTGCATGTATTGCATGCAAGATGGGGTGAAGGAGCGGCTGGGCTTCTTAATGCGGTCTCTTGCTTATTTAAAGACTCCGTGGTTCTCTCAACAACAGTTTCGGAAAAAATTAAGCGATAGAATTTTTAAAACCATAAAGATGTTCCTTGCTGGGGCAAACTGCTCTTGTGTTTATCTTGCCACCTAATGTGCTTAACGCGCTGTAGGTGGCTTGACTTTGGCAGCTGTCACATAAGACCCAGTCCACACAGTCTGCAAAATTAAGTGGTGGAATGCTGGTTATTTTCACTTGAGTTTGTTTTTAATTCTGTTAAAATGCAGAGGCCTGGGGTCTTTTGGAAAGCATATCAGGCGGGGGGGGGGAAGTGTACCTCATGGGCCACATACAGCCTCTAGTGGACCACATCAACACACCCATGTTGGAAGCCTCCCAGAGTAGTCAGTTGACTAAATGGGCAGGGTATAAATGCAATTTTAAAAAAAACTAAGTTAATTGACATGTAGCCCTTGTTGGCCTTGCAGTGTATTGTTTTCCCCTTGCTTCTGTTAGGTCGATGTGTTGATGCCCAACGTTGGTGAGATCGTTGGAGGCTCCATGCGTATTTGGGATAGCGATGAGCTGCTGGAAGGCTATAAGAGAGAAGGCATCGACCCCACCCCTTACTACTGGTATACAGACCAGGTAATTATTGATGTGCTCAGTCATCAGTGCTGAGTTGCATGGAATACTCTTGTTTTTCCTCCCATGGATTGCAGGAACACTAAACTGCTGCAGGAGAAAACACGGAACAAGGCACTCAGCAGTGTTTTGGTGCTCCATCTCATACGAATACCTAAAGCCCCCCCCCTCCCCATAAAGATCAAAACCTGTGACTGCTCAGCTAGTTCTGTATTTTGGCCTAAACACAGTGCACACTGGGGGAGCAGGATTAAACCCAGAACCTTCTCCGCTTCCCTGACATTTGATGCTCAGTCGTTGTCTACTTTGTAACTCCTGCTTTTTTCAACAGCAGCAAAGAACAAAGACAATTCTTATGGTTTGTGCAAATAAAACAAATCCAGTATTTGGCAATACAGTAAGAAGCCTTGTCCATGGGGAGTTGATTCCAAGACCCCCTTCAGATGCTGAAAAATATGGATTATAATGAACACCATTTTAGTAGCAAACACTATACATAGAAAGGTCTCTGGCTCCCTCTAGTGGCCAGCTCTGGTAACTTCATTGTAGACATATATATTTCCAGGGTTTTTTCTTTTAATACTTTTGATATTTTTAGGCCGTGAATAAATGAATCAGAAGATACTGATCCTGCAGATACAGGGGTCCTGCTGTACTACTTTTCATAGAACCAGCCAAAATGTTTTTTAAAATGCACGTTTTTGAGTTCTCCAGTTATCTTCATTAAACAGAGTTGCACCAAAATTAAGGTGTGGAACACGTAATAGGAAAATGTCCAAGAGATGTACGTTCCCTCTTCATTCTGATATGCATTGCTAGGTGTGCTTTGATGTGTGTTCCAGGGCCTCACACTGTATGTGGTCACTTATCTTTCAACTGTTAACTGCAGATCCCATGTTTCCAACATCTGGCCAAAATTTCAGATGAATTTCTCCGGAAGCACCTTAATTATTATTATTTTTTGCCACCTTACTCAATGCAGAATTCTGGAGGAACTTGACACCTTCCATAATTCTGCAGTTTCAGTCTGTTCTACTCTGCAATCTTGTTCCGGTTGGTTTTAGCCTTGAGTCTTGGCATTCGTCTGGCTACAGAAATTCTCTTTCTCTGGCTGAGAGACTCTCTTAATCCACCCATGGGTGAAAGGGTGGCCCTTGTCACATGGTCTGTTGCAGCTGGCTGCTTTCTGGCGCTGGAGAAGACCCTCTTTCAGCTCAGCGGATGGCTCCACTCCAACATGTCCAATTTCACATTGCCATTCCCTGCACCGAGAGCCCATCACGCCCTCGATTGCCATATTGAGAACCTTGGGGGGGGGAATGTCTTTCTTTCTCCTCTGCTTGCTTTACAGTATGCAGAGCAGACAGTGTTTTTGGATAGCAATCTAGCCGGCTGTTTGGGCCATTCATAACCAGCCAGTGCCCTGAGGCAGCTCCATGTAGAGGCTTGACAGCAAGGCAGACTTGTATTGGCACAGCCGAGGTTCTCTTTTCCACACCCTTCTGCTGTCAGGGATGCGTTTGCCAAGCAGCCATTGTGACTTGCTGGGAAGGATGAGGAATGAGTGGGATCCCCTTGCATTGCCTTGAACAGGTTTCTGTGTATTAGCGGTGCAGGAAACAGGGTCGCTAAAGGAGAAGGTTGTCTTGAATTGTCAGGCCCCCATTAACTGGGGTTTAGATGTGACTTTATTTGGGGATAAAAACCCATGTTTTTCTCTCATTCTCATGTATGAGCCAGGAGAAAATACAAATTCGTTCCCCTTGGCTGGCCTGCAGAAGTTTTTATGCATTTTGCCCTTTTGCAAAAAACAGTTTTTACGCCCATGGAATCTTAAAGAGAAGCATTGCATGGGTTGCTTGTATCTTTTGAGCCGGCGTTTTGGGGCTTGCTCTGTGGATGTGTGATTCTCGAGGGAAATGGCCCGTTTTTGTGCACAGAGAGGATGTGAGCAAATTCACAAAACTAAACTTCTTTGTCTGCTTCTCGTGCTGGAGGCAAGGAGCCTCAGGGGACTTGAAGATTCCACGTCCCGGGGACTCAGCAGGTCAAGACAGCTGTTTCGGAACTATTTCAAGGCGATCGGGACGGAGCCCAAATGCTTCAGCTCCGTAGTATCGATCCAGCTGATGGACAAGCTGCTGTTAAAGTCGGACAAATTATTTGTGAACTGTGAAGCTGAAACTGATTCTTTAACTCAGCCTTAGAAATAATTCCAGCAAAGTTGCCTGCCCTTTTTTTCTTGGCTGCGTGTTGCCGGTTCAGCCCAGAGCTTGGAGGAAAAGTTCATTTCTGCAGGGGCAGCAGCTCACTGGGTTTTCCCAGCTCTTGATCAGAGGTTTCTTCTGTTGCTTGGGTGGAATTTTAAAGGTGGTAGGATGTTGCCCAAGAACATTGGAGGGATTTCTTGCTAGGTCATGTTCCTTGGACGACTAGTCCCATAATCCCTGGGTGGGCAGTGGCCATGCTGAGCTGTAGAATTCTGGGAATTGTAATTCCACCGAGACACAATATTTTCCGTGTCTCTTTCACTGATGATTTTCCTGGCATGTTTGTCTAGAAACAACAGCAAGCATCCTTGTGACATCATTTCCTTTTGTTGCTGTGGCTGGGTGAATCACCCAGAGAGTGATAACACTAACGAAGCAGTATGGAAATGGAAATAAATAAAATAAAAACAAACATAAATAAAGACCGACCAAATGTAGCTTGAGTATTGAGTAGCCTTGATGCAAAAGACTAGCTACATTTGGTTGGTCTTTATTTATGTTTTGTTTTGTTTCATTTATTTCCATTTCTGTACTGCTTCGTTAGTGTTACCACTCTCTGGGTGATTCACAATATGCAATAAATTCATACATTTAAACACTATACAGTATAATAAATCCTGCAGCTCATTATAATGTACCTTTAAATAAAAACACACAAATTAAAAGCCATCTGAACATCTCAGTATAGTATTCACCCTAGTAGAAGGCAGCTTTATAGAATTTGGTCTTCGTTAGCTTCGTAAAAGCAGAAGGGGGCGATGTCTGGTGATATATGCAGGAAGCTTGTTCCAAAGAGAAAGGAACATGGTCAAGAAAGCTTCCTAGTGTTGGCTTTTTTTTCTTTTCTTTTCTTTTTGCCTCCTTGGCTTGGGTGTTCTGTTTCTTAACATCAAGGACTGTCAGAGGTGTGTGAGATGGGAAGCTATTTTGTAGGGGAGATGTTCCACCAGATATCAAGGTCTTAAGCCATTAAGGGCTTTATAGGTTATGAACAGCACCTTACATTGAGCATGGAAGCTAAAAGGGAGCCAATGAAGGTGTGCCAAAACTGGAGATGTGCGTTCATATGTGCTGGTACCTGTAATCAGCCTGGCTGACACACTGTGGACCTGCTGATGCTTCTCTACTGACTTCAAGGGCTGCCCTAAGTGGAGAGCATTACAGTAGTCCATTTTATTTAGTTACTGATCTTAACCTTAACAAGGGCTAATATGATCTTACAGTGTTCTTCCAGCTTTTCTAGTTCATTATCCATTGTGTACCTTTTTAATGTCTTAGTTATTGGCACTAAAAACTCTTTAAGGTAAAATATGCTGATATGTTCGGTCCTGTTTTTTGCCTGGCCAGCCACGGGAATGCAGTCCTCAGGGACTTCTCATAGAATATAATGATAACTCTGTAGACTACAGTGGTGCTCCACTTAACGATTACCCCGCTCCATGACGAATCCGCTTAATGATTAGGTTTTTGCGATTGCAAAAATGATATTTATATATGGAAAAACCGCTTTACGATGATCGGTTCCCTGCTTTGGGAACCAATTTTTCGCTTTACGACGATCAAAACAGCTGATTGTCGGGCTTTCAAAATGGCTCCCGCTGTGTTTCCTCGCTTTACAGGCACCAGAAAATGGCCGCCCTATGGAGAATCTTCGCAGGACGATCAGTTATTTCACCCATTGGAATGCATTGAGCGGTTTTCAGTGTGTTTCAATGGGCTTTTTTCGCTTGACAATCGTTCTACAGCAATTTTGCTGGAACGGATTGTCGTCGTCAAGCGAGGCACCACTGTATAGAATTGCATTTGGACTAAAGAGGTTCTCTTACCCTTATGGAATGTATTCCTTCTGTCTGGACTTGGATGCCCCAATGAATGACCCGTCTTCTCACATTTTATCTTTCTTTGCAGCGTAAATACGGCACGTGCCCTCACGGTGGCTACGGCCTGGGCCTGGAAAGATTCCTGACCTGGATCCTTAACAGGCATCACATTCGAGATGTGTGTCTGTACCCACGCTTTGTCCAGCGATGCAAACCCTAATCGAGATCCCTCAATGAAGCTGGTGGACCCGGCCAACCTTTGGGAAAAGGAAAACCCTCTTTGCTCTGAAGAGCGGAACACGCATCGTCCCGCAGGAAACGAAAAACAAATCTCAGCGTCCTTTTGTCAAATGCCAACGTGATTGCTTAAAATTTGAATTTAAATTGCAGTTTGCTAATTTCAGGAACTTCTCCTTTTTTTTACCCAGTGCCTCCGTCCACATTCTATTGGTCTATTTGAATGAAATGGCTCCAGTCCTGTTGATGTTCGCGTAAGGCCTGTCTGGCTTGCTGCAGCTAATGGGTGAGGTTCTGGGGCACCTCTCGGTTGCACCCGTGACTGGGGAGCAATCCAGACACCTCCCGACACCTCATCATTTTGTCACGGCAAGCTATGTAAATCTTACGTGAAGCCTACTAAGATTCTGGCCATGGATTCCAAGGTTCAATAACTGACATGCAAGACTTGGGTGTCACTATAATAAGTTGTTTCAAGGTGCACCTCTTACAGCGGTGGTAAACAAATCCTGTAAAAGATTATTTGGTAACCTTTCAACAAATCTGGATTTAGAGCCTGGCTTCTAACATGGAGAAATCAGTAGTAAAATTGAATAATTAGGGCTCTGCAGGTCTTCTGACCTTGCAGCACAGAGGCTTCTGAGGTTTAACCCGCAGTGCCACCACGTCCCCTGACATGCATCATTCTAGTAGATTCCAACTTATGGTGAACCTTTCCAAAAATCCTCGGTAGACAATATTCAGAAGTTATTTCTCATTCTCGTTTTGGGACACCCTGGGACTGTGCAATGTGCCCAAGGCTACAAGGGCTGGTTCTTCTCGCAGGAGGCAGGCACCATGTAGAAGTGAACTCCCACCCCTTGGCACCCCAGCCAGGTGCGCCCACTTAATGACCTATAAAGCAGCCTTATTTTTCCACCTGGGACCTGCTTGTTGGCAAACTGCTTCACTTAGGGAATAGAGAAGCTAGGCTAAGAGTCAGGTGCAAAGCTCTGTCTGCTGTGAAATCAGTGATGCGGGCCCGAGCTTCCCAACAGAAATCAGTTTATCCTCCTCCCAGTCCATTGGCAGCTAAAGTGTGAAACCGAATCTGGAGAAATATCCTTTCCGGAGGCTGTAGTCTTGGTACCTCTAGGGAGAGGGTGGCTTTGAATCTTTGCTATATACCTTCCACTGAACAACAGGACTTAAGCATTAGTTAATTGTATAAATTACATCAGCAATGACTGAGACATTATAATTATTACTTAATCAATTTCTATATTGCTTGTCATATCCAAAATGATAACTCAAAGTGGGTATCTGATGATGATCTTACTACTTCATTTCCTTTTCTTGCTGCTTTAATATTCTTGGCCAGACCATGCAGTTTTTGTTTCTGAACTAACCTTGCACTTCTACAGTTACTTGGGCGCAAGTCCCATTGAACACTTTGGGACTTGCTTCTGAGTAGGCATGAACAGGATTGCATTGTAAGTAAATAGCATTTCTCAGTATACCAAATGGTGGGGAGATGCAGAAGTTGGTCAGTAGGATTAACTACTACCCTATTGCTTCTTTGCTCCAGTGTAGGATTTGAAGATAAGTGGAAAGACCTAACAAAAACCTGTTTTTGCAGCAGTGTAAAAATTATGCCTCTTCATCAGCTTCCCTGTGTATTGAAGGATCACAAGAGAATAATACAACCCTGGCTGTCACAGTTCGCTGTAGAACCGCGGAAGGGAGACACATCGCTTCAAAGTCATTTCACTTTAATTGCTGTGGCTTCATCCTATAAAATGCTAGGATCTGTAGTTTGGTGAAGTACTTAAGACTTCTCTACCTGAGACCTTTAGCTCACCTGTGGATATTCTCTCTCTCTCTCTCTCATGCTGCCCACACTACCCAAAGGTCTCTGGGCGGCTTACAACAATTAAATACAGTGGTGCCCCGCATAGCGACGTTAATCCGTTCCAGGATTAACGTCGCCATCTGGATTCGCCGCTGTTTGGGGGGGGAACCCCATAGGAATGCATTAA